ATGCTATGCTGCATTGAAATGCTATGCTATGTTTAAATGTTTGAAAAAAATTAATTCATATTCAATAATTATGTGTCATGGATGGTGTTGTATTGTAACAATAAACAAAATATTGTTGTCTATTTTTATATATATATTTATATTTATATATTCAGTACCCATGTCCGCACTGAACGTCTTCATTGGACCGTAATTTAAAATAAAGGATTCGTATATAGCTTTTGCTACGCTTTAGGTGTTTTGATAAGTCACAAATAATCATGAGTGCATATTCGTTACCGTTTTCTGACTTAGATAATGGACCAATGGTGTCGACTAGTACTTTGTCGAAAACACTTTGGTATGACCTGTAATGGTTAATGGGGTTTTAACGTGCTCGGTAGTTTTAGCTTATTGACATTTCGGACATTTACGTGAGAACTCTGTAATATGACGTGTCATATTTTTCCAATAGTAATGTCTTTTTATACTCTGAACCCATTAAAAATGGGTAATCAGGGTATATTGTATTTGTGCAAATGTATGTAACAAGCAGAAGGAAGCATCTCCGACCCCATAAAGTATATATATTCTTGATCAGCATCAATATCCGAGTCGATCTAGCCATGTCCGTCTGTCTGTCTGTCCGTCTGTCCGTCCGTCCGTCCGTCTGTCTGTCCGTATGTATGAACGCAAGGATATCAGAACCTATAATAGCTAGAGAAATTTTAGCTGTAGGTCCTCCTAGTGACCGCGCAGATCGAGTTTGTTTCCGATATTCGATTACTTGCCCCGTTTCCAAGTAATCGATAAAAATCGTTATCGAAATCCTGTTTTTTGAGCAATTTCGGCAAATAATATGAGCTAGAGTCACCAAACTTGACATGTAGTTTCTAGAATAGTATATATATATCAAGTATCTTTCATTTTATACCCATCGCCACCTCCCCGCTACTACCGCAAAGCTATAAATCAAGTTAATTATCAAACTTGTATAGCCCATCAATTTAAGCCACGATTTATATGCAATTGAATTTTTGAGAATGCATAAATATTCTTATTCGGTTAAGAAACGCAAAAGTTATGTGCGCACGTGTTAGCAGCATAGCTGCTCCGCAAATTCCAAGAATTTCTGTATACATGTACACACACACACATTCATGCGTGTTTGCTTTGAATTCTATCAACAGCATTGCAATTGCGATTGTATTGTTTTCTGTGCTGCTATTTTAATTGGTTTTTTCTCATTAAAGGTCAATTATTGGTGGTTAGTTGGTTAGTTGCGAGTTCGACCCTGCCAAGGGAACAATTTTTTTGTTTCTTTTCATTTTTCTTTATTACTACTAAATCAAGCGAGCGCGAGCTTCATTTGGTGTTGGAAGAAGAGGGTTCAGGGTATCCCCTAGTCGGGTGCTCCCGACTAGAACCTCTTACTTGTTATTTTTGCTAATGTTTTTGAAATGCCTGTACCTTGCTTGGCTCGTCATGGAATGTAGACAATATTGCTTCATTTTCTTTATCGGTATTTATTTGGGTCACCCGCTTAAGTAGCGATACTCTTAAGTTTATATGTTGTCCATAGTTTTAAAAGTATCTATTGAAGTGTTTTCAAAGATCCTTTCGCTCGAAACCACTTTGAGTTGACTAATCTTATTTATTCCGGCTTCTGTTTCAAGCCTTTGGAAGAATTGACCTAGGTCGAGAATCCTATTGGTATATGGATTGCTGATCTCAATTCTCGCTATAACTTTCTTACCATGTTTTAGTAAACATTTGATATGAGTTAATCGTAAGGTCACTACTTTTCGTCATTCTAAATGACTTGATATACGTTGGACATAGAAGCATTATCAAGATTTTGCCTTGGCAAATTTTATTGTTTATTTTCATTATTATCTCCTGCGCAGGATCATTTAGTCTAGTTAGTTGTCTTGTAGTGACTTTTAAGACTTGGCATGGCATTTCTTTTAACTCATTGATGCTTATTTTTGATAACGCATCTGCAATATAATTATCTTTACCCTTAAGATATTCTACTGTAAATTCATATTCTTCGAATTCTAATCTATTTCGTGTTAGTTTTGAACTTGGGTTTACCATTGATAAGAGCCATGTTATTGGTCTGTGTTGTGTTTTTACTATGAAATGTTTGCCATATACGTATCGACGAAAATGTTTTATTGGCCAGTAGATTGCTGCTAACTCTTGTTCTGTTGTTGATTGTGCGCTCTCGCCGTTTGTGAAGGTTATTGAGGCGTATGCTACTGGTAGATATGTACCATTGTACTTGTGTAAGAACTGCAACGCACGCTTGTTTACTTGCATCGGTTGTAATACAAAATTCCTTGCCGAATTCAGGGTATTGTAGCAATGATTAATTATTTCGCTTCTTAGGTATTCAAAAGCTGACTGACATTCAGCTGTTCATTCGAAATTTACATTCTTTTTGCATAAACGTGTTATGTGACGAGAATAATCCGAGACGTTTTTAATAAAACGTCTGTAATAATTGCAAAATGCAACAAATCTTCTAGCGCTATCTGCTTCCTTTGGGACTGGGTACTTCTCAATGACATCGTATTTTTTGTCATCTGGTAGGATACCCTTGTCAGTGCACTTGTGACCTAGAAAATTTACTTCGTGCATGAAAAATGAGTATTTCTCTGGGTGTAGCTTAAGGTTGAGCTTCCGAAACACATCAAAAACATTTGTTAGGTTTTTAATCATGTGTTTTTCTGAAAAACCTATAACTATCAAGTCATCCATTTATAGGAAAGCTTTAGATGGTTTAAGACCTGAAAATGCTATTGTCATCATTCTTTGGAATGAGTTTGCCGCTATTTTTAATCCGTATGGTAATCGCGTGAAACTATAGTAGCCATTGCTCGTTGAAAAAGACGTTATTTTTTATAAAGTTCAATTTGGTGGAATCCAGACATTAGGTCAAGACATGAAAAATATTTTGCTCGTCCTAGTTGATTAAGAATATCTTCTATTGTTGGAAGTGGGAACTTATCAGCTAATTATTTTTTTATTAATCTGACGATAATCTACTACTAGTCGGCATCTTTTGTCAGTGGAACCAGGTGAAGGTTTCTTGGGAATCAGTAAGAGTGGGCTGTTGTATTCTGATACAGATTTCTAATCGCTTATTCATTTATCTACCTGAGATTTAATTTCTTCTTTATGAGTATGTGGAATTCTATAATTTTTTATGTATACACCCCCCTCGTCTTTTAATCTCAACTTTTGTTAATAAAAATTATTTGTGGAAGTAGTTTCTAATTTCGAAAATGTCGATATATTCCGTGCAAAGTTTCTTTAATAGTTTACCAAATTGTTGGGGAGAACTTTTATTTAATTTTGCTAAGACTTGATTTCGTCTTTTGACGTGGTGGGCGTAGTATATCATATTGGGTGTAGAATATTATATTTACTGAGTGGCTTATAGGAAATATTTTCGAAATCTACTATATCTTTAGTATTTGTGGGGTTTAATAGTCGGATGTAAGTGTTTGTTGAATCTGTAATACACGCTCCAATAAATATACCATATATTATTTCTTGATTGGGTATTAAAACTTGTTGTCCTATTGACTTTATTTTAGTTTGTCTAACTACTTTAGAACGGGCTGGTAGTAGAGTGAAGTTGGTTCCACATGTATTCGTAATTAAAAATTAAACATTGTCGAAGAAAGAATCGTTATCGTTAAGAGTAAGGTCGAGCACCGTCTCTCAAATAGCATAAAGAAGGTAGGTTATCAGCTTATGTTAAAGATATTCAGCAAATGACTACATAAAAGATACCGTACAACGCCTTTACCTCCTTCTAGTTTACATCACTTCCGCTTCATACTTTGTATGACTGCTTGCAGAAGTCAATCAAGGTCGCCCGTTACCACTTTCCGAAATTACATTGGTCAGTGGAAAGAATTTCATATGTATATTTACGAGAGAATAGCAGCACGAGGGTCACAACCTGATTGGTCAAATATAACAGCTTACATATATTCTATTAGTCATGGCTCTTGCATCAAAGATAAGTTAATATTATTCTCGGCTATGATTCTGCAAAGGCTGGGCGATGACCCTTTTGTATGGTGTAGGCTTGCCTGTAGCACCTTAATCGCTTCCATCCTTGGCCTTACTGTCAGACGAGGCAAGATTTTTCCTCAATCTTGCATGATTTTTCCGAACACCTTTTGGAGAGTCGAGTGGCAATGGCGCGACATTGAGCTTTCTGATGCTATACCAGTGGTTGCCTTGGGCGGCTGTTGCGTTGCTGGCTTACCGGCACTGTACTGCTTATGAGTTCTGAGTTCTCCTGTGACCAGATCCAATTGTCCCCATCCTTTTTATCGTAGAAAAGATACTCTTTAGCCACACGCCTGGAATTGTAAATGTTTAACGGATCGCTGTTTTCAGCTTTACGATATGCTAAGCTGGGAGAGGGCACGATCCCTTAAAAAAAAAGAATTACCCACACACCGAGTAAAAAACAAAAATGGTTAGATCGGCTCTACTGTTGATGCTGCCCGGGAATAAATACATATTAAATCTGCCTGTTACATACATTTGCACCAAACCAATATAACATTTTTAGCCATTTTCAATGGGCTTTATTGATAAGAACAAAAACTACATCACTCGCTGTTGCCAGCCAGACATAGAACATTTTAAATGAATTTGCAAAAGTAACACGAATGCACAAAGCAATATTGCAAATAACAAATAAATGGAATAAAAACGAGGACGCATATATTGGTCTTGCTGCCCGTCCGCCTTTCTGCATGAATGCATATTTTTTTAAGCTCAATTATTATTAGAGACGGGCGTCAGCTAAAGTGTTCAGTTTACGTGAGTACGCTCGCTGATAATGTCGGAAGTTGTGAAAACTTCTATTGAACTCCAAAGATAAAAGCAAGAATATTTTTCTTACGTTTTGAGAGATTTTAAAAATATATATCTTCCTCAAATTTAGAGCTAAAGTACATTATTGGTATTTTATTTAATATTTGCAGGACTATCCTATTGAAGCATATGAGCCATACGCGCTTGTGTCGGAAATCCAGGGCCATGTATGGAATTTTGCAATGGAATATACGTAAGTATATTGGTTTTCTGAAATGTTTGTATTGCTGTCCGTCTGACTGTCGGACTTGAAATTTGGAATATGCACCCGTGTATATGTTTATAAATACATATATCCATGTCAGATAATGTGTGAAAATTTATACAGTTTACTGTAGATTATTTTCGGTCCTATAGAAGTCCTAGCTTTAAAATTTGGGCAATATAGTCGGGTACCCGTTTGTGAATATTTTATGAAAATGCCTGGTGCTCGGGTGGCTATTCGGATATTCTATACACCAATTTTTGCATTTTGATGATCTTCGTGAAACTTCAAACTATGAAGTTTGCCGCTTCAAATCGTGAAAATCGATATCTTCGAAAAATGAAGAACTACACATTTGAAATGAATACTATCGATGTGGGATTTCTGGCAACTAGCATCTGTTCTGCAGTGCAGCCCATCTAAAGTGATAATGATTTGACATGAAGACTTAACTATGTATATGTACCGGTTGATAAAGCAGAATACTATGATTAATGGTTACATTATGAAATGATGGGTCTTTACACCAAATAAAATATATTATTTTTTTTCTCTTTTTCCTCCTAATAGAAGGAAGGAGGCATATCCGAAATATTGAGTATATTTGTATATCTACATCAGTAACAACAGCCGAGTCCATAAAGCCACTTTGTCTGTCTGTCCTTGTGACTGTTTCTATGCCAACCAATCTCTTAGTTTAAACCCTATCGTCATGAAACTTTGCATAGGTCCTTTTTTCTTTGCAGTACATATCCGATCCAGTGGATCGGACGACTATATCATATATAATTGCCAAAGAAATGAAATGCGGGAATACAAGTTATTGAATGAAACACTTTCTTTATTTTGGGGATAACTTGACCACTTGACCCGGCATTTGTTAGTTTTACTCTGATACTTATAAATAATTTATATATTATCAACAAGTGACAAAATCACTACACAATAAAACTTATCAAATAAACTCGGTCGTTTATATGAGGAAAAAAAATTATATATCAAGATATCTTCAGAAAGCTCAGCAGTCAATAACTTTGCAGTTCTCATCGCACATCTGAAAAATCCGTATGTCACAATTAATACAAGGGTATTTAATCTTCGATATGCTGAAAATCAAATCTTTTCTTGTAATACACTAACCCGTTGAAAATGTGAAATTTGTAACAGGCACAGGTATTTCCGACGCCATAAAATAAATATATTGTTGGTCAGCATCCGCCAGCTGTCGGTATGTATGAATTCGACGATCTTTGAGACTATATTAGCCAGCAACTTGATAGAGCTTTCGAACGTAGTTCTGCCTTTTGCCCCAAAGAAAAAAATGCAGAAAAGCAAATTGATCAGGTTTGCCACGTCGATGCGAAATTCTTGCATTTTAGCTCGTTATTGTTGGAAAGCGTTGGTATGTGTGCATTTAAAAGTTTTTGGACTTGCTATTCACGCATACTTGCATATATTTGAATATAAGCGTTTATGCGCTTGTGTGCCTGTTTCTGCCTGCCTGCCTGTCCGATGCAAATTTGACAAGATTTTGGGATTTCTGATTTTCGAGCTCTACACACACACACACAGACACAAATATGTGTAAATGGGCAATATTGGCACGCGTCTGACGCGTGCCCTTCTTTTTTATGATTTTGGTTTTGTATTGATGAATGAATGTTGACCCCTTATTACCTGTAGTAGCCCGTTGGGCCGAGAGGGTAAACGCTTGGCAAGCACCTGCACTTGCATATGTAGGTCAACTGATCGATCACTTAAATAATTTTATGACCAGCGGATATTTGTGCAATAAAATAAAATCTTCAATTATATATTTATAGTATTAATGATTTTATTGACTTATCATATTCAAGTTATTCAATTCAAACCCAAAATCACGCGTCAAACGCGTTTCAATAATTAAAAGTTCTTTTGCCCAACATGAACGCAAAAGTAATTTCCCCATCAGAAAATAGCTAATTTTCGCAATCGTCGCCAAGTGTCAGTGTGCTTTACATTACATGAAGAGTACCTCGATAAGGTATGGAACGCTACACTCCTAGGGGCGCAGAATATATATGTCTATTTTTTTACGGAATCATTTGTCTGGGGTATTGCGGCAATGGGAATTTTGGCGCGGATGTTATGTCTTTTCGACACTTCTGGGCAAGCATTCGTTATAAATCATCAAAACCTCTTTACTTCTAATCCATTAATAAGCAAAATTATCGCGGCAGGATCACTGAAAATTCACAAATATGAGTCATTTAGAGTTCCTCAAAGAGTCAGGCTTTTTTATCTTTGGGCACTTGCCAAACGGTTACTGTTGACGACGAGAACATAGCACTCAATAGCGAGGTCCCTGACATGTGGAACTATTTGGATGTGGCAGTGCACAAGCAACGATCCAAAATGCCTAATCCCCTAATCTATAGTTTTGGCAACTTGTATTAGCAGTAAGACATCCCTAATTAATATCTCCAGACTTGTTTTTGTGGACTTATTTGAAGTGAAAGGTTTATGTCAAAGGTTTAGATCAAATTCATATATGAAAAAGCTAAATATTTTAAGACAATAAAATTAGTAATACTATCAATATTTAATTGCTCCTAAAAATAGTTAAGTGAACAGTCACTTGACCTACATATGCAGGTGCAGGTGTTTGCCAAAAGTTGACCCTTTCGGCCCAACGGGCTGCTGCTTTTTCATATATGAATTTGATCTACAGGTAATAAGGGGTCAACATTCATTCATCAATTCAAGCCCAAAATCATAAAAAAGAAGGGCGCGCGTCAGACGCGTGCCAATAATGATATTTTTAAATTTTGCGCCCATGATCAGCCCATTCACACAAATTTGTGTCTCTGTGTGTGTGTGTAGAGCTCGAATTTCAGAAGTCCAAAAATATTGCCAAATTTGCATCGGACAGGCAGGCAGGGACCAACAGGCACACAAGCGCATAAATGCTTCTATTCATATACAAAATACGCAAGTATGCGTGAATAGCAAGTCCAAAAACTTTTAAATGCACACATGCCAAACCTTAGGTACCCTTTCGAAGAAGAACGAGCTAAAATGAAAGAATTTCGCATCGACGAGGCAAACCCTTTCATTATTTCATATTACTCGCCCCCTCAAAAGATATGCCACCGACTTTTGAGAAAAATTGAATTTGTGGGCATTTTTGCTTGTGCGGACACATACACACACAAAAATTTAAACGGTACATAGACAAATTGAAAGAGCACTGAGAGTAAGCCAAAGCAGTTTCCTGTAGTGGGAGCGAGATAAAAAACAGCGATGCCGTTCTATCGCACAAATCATATGGATGAGAGTAAGCCACAGCAGTTTCTTGTAGAGTGAGCGAGTAAAAAGACAGCGTTGCCGTTCCCCGACACAGGCCATATGTATTCTTACTCTCTTGCTCTGAGAGCATGCGGGCATGTCTCGAACCCGAACAAAAACGAAGGCGAGTTTGGACCAGCCGCAGAAATAACGAATGTCACCATCGAAAGTACGGTTTGTCCGGTCTATATGTTATTTGGTTAGTGCTTAGACTCTTGAAGCACGCAAAGAGAATATCTACTAAGAATGCGAAAACTTACTACGACAAATGTTTTCAAGAGTGACGGCAAATGAAATGAGCTGGAATGCTCATCAATTCTTTCAAAAATTGTTAAAAAGACTATATGCACACGCAAATCTTTTTTCAATAAGTCACCCATTTTCATAATATCAATAAAAATCGATTTAAATATAATGATATTTGGAATAAAATCAGCGATTATTACATAGTAATATTATAAGCGAATATGAAAGTTTCCGTATGGTATACACATATATTCCAATTTTATCCCCTCCCCGATTTCCACACTTTTGGAAATATTTAAGTGCCTACAATTTTATAAATAGTAGTAATAACCATTGATGTTATTTAAGAAAGTCTTTCTCATAATGTGGGGATAAGTGAAGAAGAATCACAATCGTTGTATAAAGTGCACTCTGCACGGCATGTGAACCTGTGTGTATTTGTGTGTCTATGCATAGACAACTACCACCGAAACTCAGTAAAAGGCACCTAACTTAGTAGTGTGCAGAGCCATCGATATGGTATATGAAGTATGAAACCATGAAAGTGCAGAAAAATAAAATGCTCTACCATGCTTCCACATATGTAGTTGTGGAACGAGTGCATCGCTAAAGCCTGGAAAACCTACATCAAACCAGTAGGGGATACTAACGCTACCGCGATAAGCCTAACTACGCCCAAAAGCAACGAGTACAAAATGGACTGCTTAAAAAGGCCACAGCCGTGACATCAGACAGTATAAAAAAAGGGAAATTTATCAGAGCAGAGGTATGCACCAAAACCGGTGTGAACATCCGCATGCAACTACTTGTAAGCAAGTAAGAGTGCACTAGTCGAAAGTGCCCGACAAGGGGCTACTCTGAACCTTCTTCTAATAACACCAAATGCAGCTCGCGCAACGAATTTTTTCGCAATAGTAAGAAAAAATATTTTTTTTTTAAATTCACCTCTCTTTGCCAGAGTTGAACTTGAAACTTTACCGAGCTACTTGCAATCGCCTCATACTCCATGGCCATACCAAGAATCGACTTTCAATGAAAATAATCAAAATAAAAACAGCACATACACATCACAAAAACACGAAAACAATAGAATCGCTACTGAAATTCTGTTTATAGAATTCAAAAAAGATGCGATGAATGTATGTGTGCAAGTTAACACGATCACCCAGCAACAAAAAAGTTTCCAAACCGATTATACATAGCCGGCATGGTAATAGTACATGATCAACGACGTCTACGGATAGTGCATAACATCCCCAAAATTTCAATTATCGACAATGTTGAGGGCAACGCTCCGCTGTTGACATGTGATACCGTGAATAAGGCACGGTGTCAGCTCTTAGGGTATTGGGCTGGCTTTGGTTATAAGAAATTATGTCCTTAGAGCTTAGTGGAACTGTTTAATTATTTTAATA